ATGCTATGTAACACATATGAGGTAAGGAACCACCCAAACCTGGTGTTAACTATGATTTTTCTATTATTTGGCTGTGCAGCCATGGATTTAAGGCCAAATCTTATTCAATTATTGATTGAAGTAAGATACCCTTCAGTTTGCAGAGTTTTAAGGGTGAATGAGAATCATGTCTGAAGTCCTCTCAAATGCCCATTCCCATCTCCTCTAACGTTAGCCTCATTCCTTGTACCTGTCTTAGGATAGAATAAAATAGAAGGCCTTCAAACCAAATGAAAGAGCTCAGACTAGTGGAAAAAAGAGTAGGAGGGAAACAAAGAAGACCAGAGAGAGATCAGCATGCCATTTGAGGACTTGAAAAGGCAATTAATGACTAAGTAAATACCTCAGGAGAATGGAGGGTAGGTGGTTAGAGGGAGGCCTTTGAAGCTGAGTCAAGGAGATTGGCATCTTCAAGGCAAGTCATTTCCAAGATGGCACAAAATGACACGTGGTCACAGCGGACCTTCTGAGGAAAAAAAAATCCATAATCTGTCTGTATAGTATGACTTTTGGAACCAGAGAACGTCTGTAACCCCATCTTTAATGTTGCACACTTTGTCTTGTGCTGGGAATTGCAGCATTTAGTGGTTCCTCCCTCAGCACATCAGGAGATGCAGCCAGGACTCTGGAGAGTAGGGGCTGGAGACCAGGAAGATGGTACTTGGTAATCTGGGCCAGTTTATAACAGGGCCTGTCCTAACTACACTGCATATTAATATAAATACATGTTTTATGAGTGAGTGGAAGCAGCACTGGTATCCACTCTCAGCAGCCAGTGGCACAGAGTGGCACTTTTTATTGAACTGGCACAGAGCTGAAATGGATGAGGACTGATGGCAGCCTGCTGTGTTACCTTAGGAAAGTCACAGAGATCTTTCAGCATTAACACGTGATTCTGGCTTTCAAATCCTTTCCTATTGCTGTAGGGATAAAGGGTGGGTTGATGAGGGCACCCAAAGTCAGAGAAGAAAGATTTCACAGAACAAAGGAGGGAGGGAGAATAGCAAAGGAAGGGGAAGTGGACACAGAAAAGGACAAACCAGATACCTGGCATCACCCCTGGGTTATGGGTGGGGAAGAGAGCATTTAGGGTCAGGGGGAATTATTATAAACCCATTTTCAGGTTGGGGGATAGAACATGAGTCACATCCACAAGCACCTGCTTGTAGGCACTAAATGAGGTGTGGGATACTCTGGGGATACCTGGTTTCAGTGGCATTTAGGCTCCAGCAGGGAGGACTCAGCCAGCCACTGAGCACTCTGGGAATGTAGCAGGGGAGGCTGAAGAAGGAGGAGAGCCTGGACACTGCACTCTACATTAGCGGGCTTTGCCCGAAATGTATCCTGGGAAGGAGCCGGGGACGTGTGTTCCAAGTCTCCAGTCACTGTTCCTAGAAGCTGGGGGAAGAGTTTTGAAATGTATAATTGGAAACAGATGAACAAGTATTCAGGTCCTTGAGACCGATGGGAGGGAGAAAAGCAGAGGGAGAGAAAGAAAAAAATGCCCAGGGAGAAAAAGGGGATGCGGCAAGGTTTTCTGGATGCCCAGTGGCCCTTTACAGAAGTTCTCCTGGAACTGAGCACCTCAAAGAGAGCAGAGGCTTCTGAGCAGCCCTGAAGGTGTGGTGGGAGTCTACTAGGTCCAGCACTGAGTTCCCTTCAAAAGACTTGAAAGTATCTCAAAGCTTCAGCAGAATCTGGCACTAACAAGAACCAAGCACCCCTGCCTATGGGATGATGCTGTTTTATAATGAGGCAAAGGTCCTTTATTAGGTTAAGGGACATTTCTCCTGAAGACAAATTGTAGAGAGACTTGAAGCTGTGTCCTGCTCTCCATGAAATACCTTTGGATCTTGTCCCTCTCCATGTGCCCTCACTGCCCCGAGGACCCAGGGAGTGAAGAAGGGGGCTGGAATGGGAATGCAGATGTCCAGCCTGGCAAGACAACGAGAGCCCAGCCATCTCCTCACCCAAGCTGCTGCCTCAAGAGGCAGAGGGCCTCTGTCCACACTGTCACCTCCAGTGACCCGGAGAAAACGTCCTTTTTTAGGGGTGAAGTCTCTCTTCTTTTTATTGAAGAGCAATCTTGTCTTACTTAAAGACATAATGTGTGCGCTTGTGTGCCCACACTAGTATCCCAGTACCAGCAACTATAGGCCTAGCCCTCACTTCCCAATGGGACCAGTCTGCAATCCTCTAAGCCAGTGGTTCTCAACATTTCTAACGCCTTTAATACAATTCTTTTAATACAACTTTAATTTAACCCTTTAATACAATTCCTTATGTTGTGGTGACCCCCCAACCATAAAATTATTTTTGTTACTCCCTCATAACTAAAATTTTGCTACTGTTAATGAATCATAATGTAAATATCTGGGTCTTTGAGTTAGCAAAATTGCAGTTAGAAAGGTTGAGAACCACTGCTCTAAGGGGAAAATGATGTGGGTAGGAAGGAAAAGGGTGAGGAGGGTTGTCTGCCACAAGTGACTATCTTCTCTTTCCTCCTACCCCATGCTCATCCATGCAGTCCAGGAGGGCATCCATGCTAGCTTTGCTCAGCCTCATTGGATAGTAAGGTTCCCCTCCACAGCCCATTAGCTCACCGGGGTGCCCAATACATTTGTGTACTCTTCCACAAACTCATCAAGCACATGTAAGATGATTTTCATTGGAATCTGACTTAAAATCACACGGGATAAAAACACACTTGCTGACTCCCATGTCCCCCAGCCACCCAGTCCCCCAACATATCCATGACACAAACACACTTTCTCCAGAGCCGCCTAGATGTACCAGAGATAGGGCTTGAAGAGAACTTTTACAGGCTGGGATCCAGTCTTTCATTGAATGGTTATCCATATTTTGGATACGGCGTTGAAGTCTGGTCACTTGTCATCTTCCCAAATGATTAGGTTGACCCAAGGCCATGTTTCCACGTGGCTTTAATCTAACCATTGGAGGAAAGGAGAGGAAAGCCTTTACAAAGTAAAGAGAATGAGATGTCCACCACCATCTGGTGACATCCCTGGTTTTGACCCTCCACCCACAACAGCTTCCCTCTTTTTGAGAGGAGAAAGATAAATCTAAATGCAGGATGTTGCAGTTGGGGCCCTCACTCGGGGAGCCTGTCCACATTTGCATCATTTTAAGAACAATCATCTCACCAGGAAGAGGCGGGGCTGAGAAGCTAACACCGAACAGAATATTGGGAAACTGTCTGGGGTTCTTGACTCTGCCTCATTTCTGCTGCAAATTGGGTAATCTCAGATCTTCTACTAATCTTTTGCCCTTACCATTTTGATCTCAGAATTCAGGTAAATACAGTGCAATGTCTAAAACCAAGACATTTGTTTAAGTCTTAGTCCTAAAGAGGCATAGACCTGGATGTTGAGTTGAGAAGCCTCTGGTGGGACAAGGCTCTGGAAAAGGAAAAGGAAGTGGCTGACCGGGAAGAGGACATCTCAGTCCGCAACTGAGAAACCCGCGCCTTCCCGCCACAGGCTGCACCTAACACTGCGCGTGGAAGCTGGGGTTGGCTTTTACCAGGACATGCCCCGCCCTTGGAAGTGTTTCTTTGTTACTCTTAAACTGAGGAATTCGTGTTGCATCGCAGTTTGTGACGAAGTGTGTCGCGGAGCAGAGTGCATACGGTTGTTGTTTTTAAAGGCCGAAAAAAGGGGGAAATTTTTCAAGGATGGTCCTGGTGGCCAGTCAGAAAGGTGAGAAACTCAGGTTTACACTCTGCCCTTTAACGTCCCGCCACCCCCCTGCCCCGCGCAGCTCCGGAGAAGACAATTCAATGAACTCCTTTTGTACCAAGTTTTTATTGATTCGAACCCCTAAAATATCAATATGCTTTCCGCAGAAACGTGCCCCACTGAGCTGCCTTGCGAGGCACCCCCTCCTGCGTTCCCATTTATTCCCCCAGGCCCACGTATGGGAGGCGAGGGGAGGCCAGCCCAAAGAGGGCGTCGCTGGGGATGGATACCACATCCGAGTTGGGCTTCGGTGCTGGAGACCCGAAGGCTCAAGCCTCTAGACCCCGCACAGCGTCTCCTCTCTGCTGCAAACCGGGTAACCTCAGCTCTTCTAATCGTATAAATCCTTTGCCCTTAACTTTTTGCCTTCGAAACCCACTGGCACACATCGTGCCAACTTCACAAGAATCCTTGAAAGGTTGGGAGATGAGTTAGAACCCGGCTGGAGGCCAGCGCGCCCCGGACCTGGAGATGGCCAAATGCACCAACCCGGACACCCCAGGCTGCGGGCAGTTTCTGCGCTCAGCCCCGAGGAGGAGCGCGTTCCGCCCGTCACCTGTTCCCGCCGCCTGAGCCATCGGTGTCAGCGCGCATCCTTAGGACTTTCTGTAGCTGTGCTGATACCCCAGCCCTGGGGCAAAGCGTGTGTGTGGCGGGGGAGAGGGGGGAGCTCTGTGCAGCGCGCGTGTGAACAGGCAGCGGACGCAGCAGGCTGCAGGTGCCTCGGGTGGTGCGTCCCGCAGGTACGCGCCGCAGGACGGGACTGGGAGGGGCAGGAAGAGCCCCGGGCAACGCAGACCCCGCCTCCTCCCCACCTCGGGAGCTTCCAACCCCCAGAGAGCCCTTCCGGCCTCGCCGCGGGCCGGGCCCCCGGCCCCCCTCCCGCCAGCTGGCGCGGTGATTGGCTGGCGCCGCGGGGCCCCGGCACGCGCCTGGGGATGTAGCTATAAGAACCCTCGCGTGCCGGCCCTCGGCGGCATCAAGTTGGCCACCGCCCTCCCCGGCGCAGCGCCGGTGCGGCCGGAGCGCAGGGGCCTCGGGCACTCCAGGGAGGCTGGGGACGGGGGACTAGGGGGCCGTTCCCACTGCCTCCCGTGCAAGAACCCGGGAGACGGGGAGGGGACTTCCAGACAAGCATAAAACTGCAACACCAACCCCCCCACAGAGCCACCTCCGGCTACCGGTCCCACGGCGGCGCAGAGCATGGACGCCGTGCTGCTAGAGCACTTCCCAGGGGGCCTGGACGCCTTCCCGTCTCCTTATTTTGACGAGGAGGACTTTTTCACAGACCAGTCCTCTCGGGACCCTCTGGAGGATGGCGATGAGTTGCTGGTGGACGAGCAGGCCGAGGTGGAGTTCCTCAGCCACCAGCTGCACGAATACTGCTACCGCGACGGGGCGTGCCTGCTGCTGCAGCCCGCGCCCCCGGGCGCCCCGCCGCCCTCGGGGGGCCCCGGAGAGCCGGACGAAGGCGGCGGCGGCTACTGCTGTGAGGCGGGGGCGCCCCCGGGCGGCTTCCCCTACTCGCCCGACTCGCCACCCCCGTGCCTCGCCTACCCGTGCGCCGGGGTGTCCGTGCTGTCCCCCGGGACCCGACTGCGCGGCCTGAGCGGGGCGGCGGCGGCGCGGCGGCGGCGGCGGGTGCGCTCGGAGGCCGAGCTGCAGCAGCTGCGCCAGGCGGCCAACGTGCGGGAGCGGAGGCGCATGCAGTCCATCAACGACGCCTTCGAGGGCCTGCGCTCGCACATCCCCACGCTGCCCTACGAGAAGCGCCTCTCCAAAGTGGACACGCTGCGCCTGGCCATCGGCTACATCAACTTCCTCAGCGAGCTGGTGCAGACGGACCTGCCGCTGCGCGGCGGCGGCGCGGGCGGCGGCCGGGGGCCTGGCTGCGGCGGGCGCCTGGGTGGGGACATCCCGGGCGGGCAGGCGCAGAAAGTCATCATCTGCCATCGGGGCACCCGTAAGTGCGTTCCCATTCCAGCTCAGGGCTACGGGGACGCATGCGGGAAGGTCTTGGAGGGGCTGGGAGAATAGGCTGACAAGCAGATTGACGGAAGGACAGATGGTCCATGGGGCACCAGCGACCTTGAGCGCCTGCTGGCATTTATCAGGTTTTTTATTTCCCCCTCCACTTTGACCGCGGCTTAGAGGGCGTGCGACCACAAAGGACGTACAGCTCCTGGGATTCCGGGGAGGGGGCGCTGGGGGCTTGTGCCGCGGAGAGAAAGGGTTATTCTAATGTAGCCTAAGGCGCCTGCTCTGTGGAGGCGCCCGGGCATAGACCCCAAGGACTGGAGGGCTCCGATGGGGATAGAGGTGGACATTCACACTGTGTTGTTTCTTCTCACCTCCTCAGGGTCCCCCTCCCCCAGCGACCCGGATTACGGACTCCCTCCCCTTGCAGGACACTCTCTCTCATGGACTGATGAAAAACAACTCAGAGAACAGAATATTATCCGGACAGCCAAAGTGTGGACCCCGGAGGACCCCAGAAAACTCACCAGCAAGTCTTCCTTCAACAACATAGAGAACGAGCCGCCCTTTGAGTTTGTGTCCTGAGAAATCACAGACTCGCCTGGTTGGGTCTCTGTGCATATTGTACATGCAAATGTCTATGATGTAAATGTAATTTAAGAATCGCATTTTTTTTCTAATGGCAATCAACGGTTTGTTATTTATCTATTTATTGTGCTTGTCGAGTTAATGAAATAGTTCTCTTTTTAAATATATAATTTATATAATTTATCCTGATTTTCTAAAAATATGCAATAGCCTGTGATTCCCCCAGCACCTTTGGCAGAGTGTTGTTGGAAGAACTCTGTCTAGAAAATTGTGCTAATTTATTGACAGATATGGTTTATTTCTAAGCGATGTTAATAAATGTACTTGTTTTCTATGCATTATTTGTTTAATACATGTTGGGGGTAGCTATATTTCTAAAAAGAAGAATAACTTACTTTGTAAAAGACAATTCTTACAAAGTAAGAATAACTTTGTAAAAGACAATTCTTACAAAGTAAGAATAACTTACTTTGTAAAAGACAAAAACGTAGCTATCTTCCAAGAAACCATATGTTAGTGAGATTTAGCTGAAAGGAAGTGGATTGGAGGGTTAGGCCCCAACTCTAAAGAGTGCTCTTCTTCTGTATCACCTGCCCTAAATGGTGATTTTTGCCTGTATTTTTATCCTACGTTTCAAACACTATGGTGAAATTATACCCATTTTTCAGAGGGGAAAGCTGAGGCTTAGAGAGGTGTTTAACTTAACCAAGGTCACCCCTACCCTGCATAATCATAGTGTATGAACTGAATTTGCTGTGTGTGTGTGGGGGGGTAGTTTTGGGCTTGGCCATTGGAAAGAGTCTTTCTGCTTCCATGGGCTGGTTGTTCTTGAGCTTCTCCGTGGTCTATCCCTTCTGTAGCTGCAGCATCCGGTACATGGAACTTAAACTTATTCCTATTAACCACTGTGGGCTTGAATGCCTTCCAACAAAATCCAGGGTCCTTGTTAGGTAAGGCGAGAGAAGGCGCATGCTCCCTTCCTCAGCCACTTCTGCAAATGGGTTATTTCTAAAACCGACCGCTTTTTGCTTCCAAGAGAGTTTCATCTCCCTTGGTAAGCAGCCTGATCCTGGAGGCAGGGGAGCCTCAAGCGGAGGGCCGACGGCCGCCCCCTAGCGACAAGGAGCGGCGCTGCTCGACGGTGCGGCCGGGGTCGCTCAGCCGGAAAGCCCTGAAAACCCGGCGGTGGGAGGTCTCCTTCGCCACTTCCCGCACCTCTTCGGCCCTCGGGGTACTTTCCCTTGTGGGCCCAGCCAAGCCCGAGTTAGCAGCGGCTGACCCGGGGCCGGCGCGTTCGGACACCACGGGCGCCGAGGGGACCGCGCGCGACAGGAGCGCACCGTCCCGCGGACCTGCCGCTCCAGCGCAGCTAAAGCCAGACCAAGGAGGTTGTTGCTCTACCACCAGGACTGGCCTGGTCCTCCAGGGTATAATCAGGAATTTTCCCGGTACCCCGGCCCTGTCGACAACATGCTAATTGCTTTAACCTAGTTTCAGACCCACCGAGGGGTTCCCCGCACCGCGGGTGCTATGGACATCGTCCAAGAGCAATTAAAGCGAGGCTGCGAGTTCGACCCCCGCAGCGCGGCCCAGCCAGACATTGGGAGATGCTGAATCCCAGGAGATGCAAAATCCCAGGAGGCCCTTGACGGTGGACACTCCTTCCAGCCATCGCAGCCTCTCCCGTCTCCCCCCCCCCCCCGCCCTAAAAGATGGAGATTTTACACAGGAGTCCGAATTTGGAAACCAGAGAAAATAATTCGATTTTGTCCTGTATTAGGGTCTCGTTAAACATAAAAGTTGCTTTTGCACAAACGCTTCTATCAGGCATGTAATCTCATTACACTCATTAGAAAGTCAAATGTTAGGCAGACTTCCACTTAATTATAAGTTATGTAAGTATTGTACTTTTCCTTGGACCTGCGTTTCCATTAGAATGGGCAGTGTGGCACTCCGAAGTTAAAACACTGCAACCATTGTGATGTGGCACCTTTTCTTTTGCGTGCCACTTTTTTTCGTGATTCAATGCTTCAACACATCCTTTAGTGCGGTGCAGATGAAGCGGAAGAGCCCGGGCTGAGCTTGTAAAACACCAGGGTCTCTATCTTGTCACTCTTCTGTCCTGACTTGGCAAGTCCCTTTAAACACAACCTTCAAAGAGACTGACAGCTTCTTTTTATTTACTCATAATCCATTCATTCTAGTGTAGCAGTTCTTTTAAAAAAAAATGTGGCAGTAAAAGCAGAACAAACGTATCATTTCAGAGTCTCCGTTGGCGTCAGAGGGGCCTGAGCTGCTCCTGGTGAAGGAGCTGCTCTCCTCGCAGCAGCGCCAGGCTGAGGAGCCTCTGGACTGGGGCATCCCTGGCCAGCCAGAGCCGCAGCCTGGCCCTGGGAGGACCGGTATGGGGGCACTTTCTTTGAGTGGCAGGTTGATTCAGGGTCCTTCTAAGTCAACATATTTCTTCCAACTTAGCAAAAATAGTGTATGAAAACAATTGATATTTATCGGTTATCCTCAATGGCCCTGGTCTTCTGAAAACCCATCAGCTCCTGCTAAAAACCCAGCCTGAACCATCAGAGCAAAGAGTTTAAAGTTCTCCGTGGCTGCCTTGGTCCATTTAGCATAATAAAGAAGCTGCAACCCCTGAACTGGTGCATTTTATGAACGCAACCCTGTGAGCTGGCTAAATCATTCCCTAATGGTCACTTACCCTTCCTATACTTGGTTACCAAGTATAGGGGGAGAGACGGAAGAGTGAAGAAAGTTTGGGTAGAATGCCCCCCCCTCCCTAAAATTCACCCCTTCCTCCCACAAGATATACTTCTTTAATTCCAGCCCATCCCAGGTTACTGCGCCATTCTGCTTTGGTGTCAGAGTGCCAATGACTACTTATTAAAAGCCCCTTCTCGCCCTAGCCGGATTGGCTCAGTGGATAGAGCGTCTGCCTGCAGACGGAAAGGTCCCAGGTTCAATTCTGGTCTAGGGCATGTACTTTGGTAGGAGGTGTGCTAACTCTCTATCCCTCTCTCTTTCTCTCATACAAAAAAAAATCAATAAAATATATTTTAAAATAAATAAATGCCCCCTTTCCCCATCCATCTCTCTCCCATACATTTCTTTTTTTAAAAATATATTTTGTTGATTTTTTACAGAGAGGGATAGAGAGTTAGAAACATTGATGAAAGAGAATCATAGATCAGCTACCTCCTGCACACCCCCTACTGGGGATGTGCCCACAACCAAGGTACATGTCCTTGACCGGAATGGAACTGGGACCTTTCAGTCCACAGGCCGACACTCTATCCACTGAGCCAAACCGGTTTCAGCTCTCCTTTACATTTCTGATGAGAATTAGTGTTAGGGTCCTCTCATCGCTGCCTTAAAAGATGTTAGGTGTCACCAAAAGGTGGCTTCTTCCTATTTTCAGAGGCTGGGCACCTGAGGCACTACACCTTTCCCTTTTGTTTCCTCGTGGAATTCTCAATCGGGAGGTGAGAGTGGGTGGGGCAGCTCCTGAGGGGAGGGGAGAAGGTGGTGTGAAGAGGAGAGGGGAGCCAGTTTCCCATCCTGAGCTGGGATGGAGCCTGCTTGAGGAGCCTCTTCCTTCCCGAGGAAACACTATGGATTAGTGGAAA